AGATTTCGTGCAACAACTTGGTTATGATCCAAGTAAAGTGCAGTGTTTCTGGTTACTTCCTGGCATGAATTTGGATAGTGGGCTGAGAATTATTGATAGAGATGCAGACTGCCTTAGTATGACTGCAGTTGTGCCAAAGTTTAAACATTTCAAGCTGTACATGGATCATGGTGACATTTACAATGAGATTGCGATGGATGACATATGCATAGTTGGATCACCTCCAATGCCTGCTGTCATGAGTCCTGGGAAGCCACAAGATAGAGGTGCACATTGCTATGTTAGATGCAGTCCTAGGATGGAGAGCAAGACACAAAAAGTGGAGGAAAACAATGACAGTGATAGTGATGATAGTGACAGTGATTGTACTTATGCAGGTTGGGCTGACTCAGATAACGACTTCGATAATGATGACGATAATCTATTTGAGGAGTGGGTGGATGACTTCAGTAAGGATGTTAGAGCAAAGAAGAAAGCAACACAATATGAAAGGGATAGTGACTATGACACTGACGAGCTAGAACTGCCAGCTTCAGAGAATGAGGGAAATGAATCAGAACATGAAATTGTTATAGAGAAAGGGAAGAAAAAGAAAAAGAAGAAAGTGAAGCTTAGGTCCTTCAAGCCAGAGGAATTGAAAGCTCCAGCTTTCAAATTGGGTATGAAATTCCCTACGGCAGCTGACCTTAGAAGGGCAATTCAAGAGGTAAGTGTGCAAAATAGGGTACAAATAAAATATGCAAAGAATGATAGACAAAGAATTAGGGCACACTGCTCCGATGACTGTCCCTGGTATCTATTTGCAGCACCTGACAGTAGAACCACAAGTTTTGTGGTGAAAACTTATGTGGGAGATCACACCTGCAGTAAAGAGTGGGAGGTTAATGCATTCACATCAAAGATCATTGCCTAGTAACAGTACTCCACATGGCACGGGGGTGGCAGCAGCAGATAATATGAACTGATGAGAGAGAGAGAGAGAGATCTGAGTGGGGAAAGGACTGTGGCTAGAGAAGGCAACTACATAAATGGGGTCAATTGCAAAAGATCTCAACCGCCAGCGGCGGGAAATCTCCCGCCACACGCCCTGGGTCCAGGTGGCAATGGTCCAAGCGCCACGTCTGCCAGTCAACGCAGCTGCAGCGAGTTTGGGACATGGGTTGTACGCCTTGAAAACATTTGGGATCCAATTCTGCACTTTTGAAGTTTTAGGACTAGATTGACACGCCTCGCATAGTTGTAGGACTTACGATGCATTTTACTCGAGAGAAAATGGGGAACGGGAGGCCTAGGGCGTGAGGTCTGAGGTGAGGTGTGTGTATCTCGCTCATGAGTTGGGTTGTCCGGATGGGCCTTTGCTAAACTCGTATGTATGGGCTTTTATTTATTCGGTCTTTACGTGCTATTCGGTCTTAGAAACAGCAGGACCGAACAGACCGTAAAAAATTCGGTCTTTTATTTATGCTGACCATTTTTTATTTGGTCTTTTCTTGTTCGGTCTTTTTGGGTTCGGTCTCGGTCTCTTTGGGTTCAGTTTTCGGTCTTCGGTTTTTATGCCCGGGGTGAGTGGCGGGGGTGTGGCCGGACAAGGCTCGAGCGCTAGTCGTGGGCCTCCTATTCGCTGTTGACGAGGTGGTTAAATGGCGGGCTCCACAACAAATGGATTCCTTGAAAACGTGGCAACATGGTTGGTCCACAAACAAAGAAATTGGTCAAAGGGAAGTGCAACCTCATGGGAACTTATGCAAGCGTTGTGGTGAAGCTTCTTCCTAATTTCTTTGCATGGGTTGGTCGCACAACCGCAATTTTGATAAATTTGATGGTAATCACGGAGCTGTTTTTTTTTTGGGACAAATGATAGACTTTATTAGCTTAAAATGAAGGACCAAGAGGATACAAACACAATAAGCACATACCCGTTCTCTGAATAGTTAGGATGCACATAACCTAATACAAACACACACATACAATGCCGGCAAATATCATAGTCATATAAGACTAACTCTATACATAGGCGAGAAAAAAACAAAGCGATCAGATTTGCGATCAACAACCTACAACAATGACCATATCCACACCAACCATCTCATTAACGCCATATGAAAGACGAGGTTCTTCAACATCAACACTTTCAGGAAGGGAGTTACACTCAAATGCCGCCATCACTGGATCCAACCACTCAAGGCAAGAATTTAGGTTTCCACCCCGAAGAATGAATCCAAAAATATATCCGAGCACCTTCAACAATATAGTGACATAAAAACATCGGCATAGCCAGGTATAACCAACTCGGGTCCTCCTAGCCTTTCACCCCGGAGCTCGAGACTGGGTGCTTGAGTAGCATCATCATTGATGTCACTCATGTGTTGTCGCCATCTCTTTTCCGTGATCTTTGCAGCTACATGTGATGTGTGATCTCCGCCACTGCACAACCATCCCTCTGTGTCATGTCGTCATCGCTCATTTGCATCTCACTGCCGAAAACAACCCACCGGATCTAAAGGGAGAAACCCTTGCCAAGACTTTTTAGTGGCCACCAAGTCGCCGCCGTGGGCGGGAGCCGTTAGTGGCACAAACCTACTTTTCCCAATTATTTTGTAAATAACCCTTTCTTTTGCGGCCCTCATGAGAAATTTATATCATTAGATACACTAGTCGTCAACCCATGTTGCAGCACGGGCTATCTAAATAGGGAGTATGCAACAATAGAAGTACCAATGTCATTTTGATATTTCTTTGTACTTTAAATTATATGGAATAATGATCTCCAAGATTATTATTGAAAACATGCAAAAAAAATCTTAGCATGGAAAAGTTTCATAAGAAATATTGCCAAAGACACGTTGTTTATTGGGTGCAATGCTTAATGTGTTGGAAACCTTGTGCAAACAGGTAAATACATCCTGGATGAAGATACATCTTCTTGTGGCAAGAAATTAGGTTTTCATTTGTTTGGCATGTTGTTTTTATTTATCATATAACTTAGACATGCGTGTTGGGGACTCTTTTTTAACTGGGAGACTCATTTTTCTACATGTGGGGAAAGGCACGTTCATTTTGTTTTTATAGAACTTTTTTGAGGAAAACTTGTCTCTATGGAACTTAGATCGCATTGGGAATGTTTTTTTATTCAGGCAACATCTTCTAATAGATCTACCCATTTCCTTCTGAAAATAAGGCATAGACTCTCTTTTTTAACTATGAGGCTTGAGGTCCCTTTTTTCTGAACCTGTATGGATTTTATTTTTTTATTGGGATGTGAACTCTTTTAACGTGATGAGGCTAGAGGAGTTTATTATTTTTGCTAAAGGAGTTTCTTTATACGTGCACCAAGGGGACTCTATTTTTTTACTATCTCAAGGGGACTCTTTTTGTACGTGAGGAAAAATAAAGCTATTTTTTTCACAGAACATAAACGTGGTTGTTCGGGACTCTCTCCGTGTGCTCTTTAAAATTAAATCTCAAGCGTATTTTTTTTATTCGGCTCAAGGTATTACGTACATCCAGTGGCTAAAGATTTCTGAATTACAGATCCGACGGTTAATTAGGTAGCTTTTCTAGGATTAACATGGAGGCTCGTATGGTGCCTTCAATTAGTAAATATAAGATAAGATATCCAAAAGTACTTATTTATAAATGTGTTTTCTATGGTGTAAATATACACTAACAGAGTTATGGTTGATAAAAGTTTGTATTTATGAATTGAAATGTATCTAAAAGAGTAACGGAGAGAGTAGGAGACAAGTTATAATTTTGGAAGTTGTTGTTATTCAGATTTACTTTTTGTGTGTGGAAAATAGGGATAACACCTCGGCCACTAGTCGATTGATGCACGCGGCCATTCATCAGTTATTGCAATGCTCACAACAACCAAACAAGTGTCCAAAAAAAAACACCCAAACAAGTCTAAAGGTAAAACAAAACGGGCACCTATCCCAACCACAGAGAATGGCAACGCAAGGCCATAAAGTGCTGCTGTTCAGATGGAGAGATTGCAACCAATACCGTATATTAAGTCTCTGTTTCTCAACCCGTCAAAAAAAAAAGTCTCTGTTTCTCAGTCGCATGGAGTTTGAGGCCCTTGGCAAGTTGGTTACACTAATAGGAGTATATGCACATCATGGTACATGCGTCTTGCTTATGTTATTGCATTTGAAGGTTAGAGGCTTAGAGATTACCATAATATATGCACATCATGGTACATGCGTCCCCTTTCTTTTTGGGCCAAAGTCAGCAGCCTCTGTTCATTACTCGATCGTGAAATGATGAGGACTGAGCTGGAGGTGAGGAACATGCAGCAAAATGGGGAATATCCTCGCACGTCATGAGCCAGTGAAACAGCGCACACTATTCGGTCTTCGCCAGGGGAATACATCGTGTGTTGATTAGTTGGATCAGGGATGTAGACATCATGTCCCTTTCCTTCCTTTGAAGCCTTTATATACAAAGGATCCGTCGTGCAAAGGCGGATAACATCTGAATCCACCCATTCATCGCTACACAGCCAGGGCTTCTTCTCAGGTAATTCCCTCGAGAAGATCTTCTCCAGACACTTAACTTTGCTGCAGATACTTTTTCCATATGATTACTATCATGAATTTACGTATACCTGCTTCTTCATCGTGTGCTTAGGATGCTTTGAAGTATTCATTCGCACGCCTGTTTCAGCATATAGCAGCCATACGTTTACCAGCAATTCGCTGTGAACTTGTACTTTAAATACTGAGTTTGAAGTTCATGGAAGGAAGATATATGCTACCTTGACGTGTTCCATAAAATCTCATTCACTTTTCTAAACTGAACTTTTTTCATTACAGCAAATTTTGGCTAAGAGATACGGAGTAATTGGCAAAACTGAACTGATTTTGAGTGCATGCATGCTGTTGCTGCGTTTTATTGTTAACTAAAAATTCTTAGTATTTTGAGTACTTGGAGGCTGAATCTAACTCATGAGTATTGTGATTGCTCTTGTTTCAAGGGTGCTGTGGTATTTAATCGGAATGGGCTGCCAAACTATTTCCCCAAACGACCTGGAGCTTATGATGTCGGATAAACATGAAGCCAAAAAACCTGGGGCTATCGAGTTTAAACTTCTTCACGAGATCACAAATAATTTCTCTGATGAAATTGGACGTGGTGGATATGCCAAGGTTTATAAGGTATGGAAATTCTAAATTGCCCCGGTCTTACTTGCCATAGTCACAGTCACAGTTTTAATCTAAAAAGTGGCGAGACATGCTTGCCTGTAGGGACTCCTTGGAAACGGCATGGCCGTTGCCGTGAAGAAGCTGTCCAATCCGCATTTTCGCGACGATAAATTCTTCCTTCGGGAGATTGAATGTCTTATGAAGGGGAAGAAGCACAGGAATATAGTACGATATTTGGGATATTGTTGTGATACCGTGGGAGAAATAGAAACATATGAAGAAAAAAATGTCATAGGGGAAAGGCTAAAAAGATTGATCTGCTTTGAGTATGTACCAGAAGGGAATCTCCGTAGCCATATCAATGGTAGGATCACGATTTTCATTACTATAAAGATTATTTGGTTCAAAAATCACACTTATACACAATTTACATTCCATGTCATGTACTAGCTACCGTCCAGATATTTCTAATGCGAATACCTTTCTCCTCTTCCATTTATGCAGATGCATCTTGTGGACTTGAGTGGAGAGAACGTTATAAAATAATAAAAGGAATCTGCGAGGGTTTGAATTACCTTCACACCAAAGGTATTACTCACCGGGATCTTAAGCCGGAAAATATACTCATGGATAATATGATGGTGCCGAAAATAGCCGACTTTGGTCTATCAAGGTACTCTAAGGATGAACAAACCCATGCTAGTACTACAAATCATGTTGTAACCTTGTAAGCTTACTAAGCCACTTGGAAACTCAACCTTTCTTGTCATTGATGATTTACATTTTGCTACCTCTGTGCATCAGTTAATCTATTTTACCATTTTCTTTTGATGTAGCGGATATGCGCCGCCAGAATTCGATGGCCGGAAAGTCACACGAAACTTTGATATATATAGTCTTGGTGTTATAATCATGGAGATCGTGACTGGAGAGAGGGGGCATCACAAGCCAGAGGCAGTAAGAACGGTCTTTGGCACTCCCAAGATAAATGCTTGGTTTCAAAATAATTATCTTGCATTTTACCTTTTCCTAATCATCATTTCAGTGAGGAGAATAAGGACCCTGAATTATGATGTCTGGTCTGTCTAATACAAGTAACTATGAAACCATCCACCATGTTGCTAACTTCTACAATTAGTGGAACTATCATTATCTAAGAAATAATGGAGAAGTGTTTGGTTTCAAAACATAGCGAACAAAAACCCCCGCCCCCAAGGACAAAATGTGCGTCAAATCCATGAGAGTATGATCCAAAGAATGAATGAAGGCCTCATCGAGGCTATTGGTATTTGACACTCCATCCCTGTCTCCCCCCTGCCACCTCAGGCTAAGCTGAGCGGACGCCAGTGGTGGGAGTAGTAAGACCACGCCGGTGCGAGCTGCGGTGGTGGGGCCTCCTTTGTTTGCGTCAGAGCAGTTCTCATGCAGATGGTAGTGGGTTGCGACTTTCGGAGTGGAGGTAGACAGATCTGTGAGGGGACCTTGCGGGAGAGATGTGTTGGCGTTCGTGAGCCGAATTTGTGCAACAACATATTGATCAGGTCCCAGGCGTGCATGGTTGCGACTCGCCGTGATTCCAATGGTGGGAGACGTGGTGGAGATGGCAACGCAGCAGCCTTGGTGACGTGGTTGGCAGATCTGCAAGAGGGTTGCATCGGTTGCTAGATCTGGTTACCACCCTTATGTCCAAGCATCCCTCTCTCTTACTCCCTCCGTTCCAAAATAGATGACTCAACTTTATACTAACTTTAATACAAAGTTGGGTCATCTATTTTGGAACGGAGGGAGTACGAGTTAACGGGGATCAAAGTAGGTGCGACAATAACCGAAGAGAGGCGGCGAGCAACTGCTTTTGGTGTTTTCTCCAGCAGCATGGACAGGCCTTATGCTCTCTCAACACCAGGACCGGCCTAACGAGAAGTCGTTAGCCTGTCGAGAGGTTGCAGGTAGTGAAGGATTTGACGACAAGTGTGTGTATTCCCGGTAAAAACCCATGATCTCGCCTCTCCAAGCAGATTAGGCAATGATGATGATGTGTGTGTGTGTGTGTCCATGTTGAAGGTGTTGGCTCGAAGCACGCTTCAGGGATGAAAATCCCAAGTTTTACCTTCAGTTGGACCCACCAATACCGGTGGACACTGGCGGAGCTTCGGCAAGGCCGAGTGGGCCATGGCCCGCCCAGGTCTGGAGTAAAAATATTTTTTTATACGAAGCCCCAGCCCATGGCGATGGACAGCCATACAGACAAACAACAGGCATCACGACATTAGCCTCGAACTGTCGCTTGTGTTCCTCGAAGAAAACACACAGCTGAGTGGAGGTGCTCGGGAGCAGCAGCCGGAAATGGACACATACACATAATATGGTTCAGAATAAAAATTTGTACTCTTTGGCCCGCCCAACCATTTGATTGAAGCTCCGCCACTACCGGTGGATGTTTAACGATTGCTTCTTGAAGGCTTTGTCTAGGAGTAACATTTTATTGTTGTTTGACATGGCATAGGATTCGTGGTGGGATTGTGGAGATAATGCATATCCATTTTAGATGGCCTTGACTTTTTTTTGTTATTTGTGCTTTTGTAAGCTTATTTGTTCAGCATCGATGCTTGACTGTCTTGCACTGTTTAATAATTAATAATATATATATATGCTTGTGTGCATGAATCGGTGGAGAGGTCGGAGTTTATCCTCATTTTTGGAAGGATAGAATAAAATTCTACTTGCAAGTTTTTCACCGTAGTCATGTGATTCCAATGCCACATAGCTTGCTGACTTGTTTAGCGATAGGTGGGCTCGGCTTGAATCTACAAGAGAGATGCTTTAGTGGTAGTCCAAGGTGCCTAACTGCCATTACTAGGTGACATGTATGCACAATCACTGTGCCAAACAACTGCAGGGAGTTATCTGCAGATCTGAATCAAAGAAAATAAATCAATTTCGAAAGAGTACCTAACAGTGTTGGTCTCGCAAGAAATTAAAGAAAATTGCAAATGGGAAAATTATGTATTGTATTCCAAGAATTTCGAAAGAGTGCCTAACAGTGTCGGAGTACTATAACTAGAAAGGCTTAAGGATCGAAGAACCCTATCAGATAGCACTACCAAAGAAACTATTGGGAAAGAGGTGAAGTAAATAGGCATAATATAAATAAGACCAGGTTGTTGTTTCCAGGAAAAAAAATCATTACCCAAAGTTTCCACCTGATTTTTATTGAACGCGAAAGTGTAATTTAATTATATGATGTTGAATGTTGATCTTACTAGAACTGCCGGGAAGCGAAGTATTTCACTTCTTTGGTTTTTGTTATTTTCATGATATTTTGTTCCTAGTTTGATGCTTGAGTTGATTTGCCTGACGCATTGACATACTCTGTTTTCCCATTCTGAAAGATGTTGGCGGTCCATTTCATAAATAGTAAGTCACGGTTGCAATTCTGTAGGTACTTGAAAGTTGGAGTAATAGGCTTGAGACATCAATGGAAGAAGATCAAGTACGTGTATGTATCGAGATAGCAGTAGAGTCCACACAATTCGAACCAGAGAAGAGACCAGTTAAAGCACAGGATATAATTGATAGGCTTGTTGCAACGGTATGGCACAAAAACTGAGCTAGTATGTGTAATATACTAATATTATACCTTTATTGCCGATCGCTGGAAGCAAGCATCGCATATGGCACCATCATAATCCGAATGCATGAGAGCATCATAATCCGAATACACTAAAAAAATGATAAAGTCAATTAATTTTGGAGTGCCAAGCATGGACAGATTAAACAAAGGCTATTTTGTATTAACCGAACTAGTTCTTCCGCAGGAGCTCCTTAACGTCTACCTTTTCAAGCTTGGGTTACCCACCGAACCCAATACAGATAAACAGTTGGTGTTTAGGCTTACGAATAAGAGCAGGGAGTCCTGGCAGTACTTTGCAAGTATTCCGCTCTACGTCATCGTGCCTTCCAGGTCGACTTACACCCTCGTTGTCACAGCAAAACAACAGGATATGCTACCTGAAGAAATAGACTATGATCTGATCCAACAGAGCAGTATATCAGAAGACAAAAACATCCATGCTTTCAGAGACCAATTATACCTGAAGAAGTATGACCAATTTTATGAGGACGCGGGGAATGATGTGCATGAGGTGAAACTGAAAACTACTTTTGCAACATCTGAGGTGAGTTTCTTCAAGTAATGTAATTGCTCTTCCGACTTGCTCATGTTGTATATCTGGCCTTTCATACATTTTGCTTTGATGGTGGTCGTTCATGGTACTACGATGTAGGATGCAGCCTCACGGCGAATAAAGGTATGGGGTTCTCTTCCTTATAACTCAGATCCTGCAAATTCGAGGTAGCTAGTTTTCTAACATCGACCGGAATTTTGCTGCATCAGAATCGACAGATAATATCCATGAAGAATACTCATGGTGTTCTGTGTTGCCTAGATGCACAAACCACAGAGCCATGGTGAGTCCATAGCCTACTGCAGGCTTTGAAACTGTTTCCTGTGCTCAAGTGGATGTGTCACTTGTGATTAATGAACCTATCATGAATGAATACCTTACTGTCCCACAGGATTGTAACAGGTCATCAGCACCGAGATGTTTGCATATGGAACTATTACCCGCAGGTACCATCATATACATTTTATTTTTAGGGTCCGTATGTAATACTTTGTAAGGTCCTCGAGAATAATCAATAAAGTGGCCGTATGCATCTCCCAGATGCAGAGGCCGGGGGTCATCCTCCTTTTCTAAAAAAAACCATCATATACATTTGAAATCATATTATTTCTAGCTACTGCCAACGATTGCGTTCAGCTTAACTACAAACTCATTTTGTATTGGCCCGCAGAGAGGAATGGATTCGTTCAATATCTGGAAGGAGTCAGTTATGCATTCTTACTCGTCATCGAATAAAGGCATGCATGAGCATCTGTCTGCTGACTTCTCTGTTTTTCACACAAGTTTATTCTCATCGTCATACACTTCATGCTAATAAAATGATCACTCTTCTCAACAATGCAGTTCATTCCGTTAAAGTTATCTCAAGAAAGGAAAAGACATGGTTTGTGGCTGCGACATCGGATGGTGTGATCCATGTATACGATTACAACAACAAAATGGAAGAAGTGTCAAGTTTCAGAGCCGCCAGTGATTCCTTCATCACTTCAATGGCCGTACATCCAACCAATTCGTATCTATTGTCATCGGCACATCGTGCTGTAAAGCTCTGGGACTGGGACAATGGCTGGAAGGAGTGCCAACCATCATTCAACCAGGAACACTATGCTAGTATACGTCAAGTCGCATTTAACCCAAAGAATACCAACATTTTTGCAACTGCTTCAGATGATCACACCATAAAGGTATGGCTTCCTCCTTTCTGTTGACTGATAAGTTTTGCTACGTACCTTAATGGCTTGCCTTGTGCCTGATCGACTGATGCCAATGCCGACAGAGGGATCTAAAAGCCATTACTTCACAATTCATATAATCGATGTCCAGGTTTGGAGCATTGGCTCTCCCGAATCCAAGTATACTTTGTCAGGGCATCTGGGCAAAGTGAACTGCCTCGATTTCTTCAGATGTGATGGTAGTGGTACACAGTATTTGATTACTGGCTCTGACGATCGCACAGCAAGGTATGCGATTATCATTGACAAATATACTAATACAGTACGAGCACAACACTGTTAATACTGCATGCCCATTCTTAATCTTTGTCAAACAGATCTGGAACATGGAGAAGGCGGCTTGTGTTGACACAATAATGGAAGCTTGTGTTCATACAATGGAAGCTTTAATGTCTCCAGTAAATTCCGTCCTTGCACTTCGCGACCCTCTGTATCTTATTGCAGGATCAAAAGATGGATCTGTTCATATCTTTTCTGTCGAAAAGGAGGTTTCTGTTCATATCTTGAGCTCGACTAATTTCAGGTATCCAGTAACCACTAAGATTACCATCAAAATTTTGAGTTAAGCCCTTCAAACCGCCCATGCATGGTCTAGTACGCGCATCAACTGATGAATTGTGGTATTAATTAAATATGAACAAATCTCTGCTCTCTACATAGGACTATATTGCTACAGTGGCATAGTGTACTACTCCCTCCATTCCTAAATATTTGTCTTTCTAGACATTTTAAATGGCTACTACATACGGATGTATGTAGACATATTTTAGAGTGTAGATTCACTTATTTTGCTCCGTATGTAGTCGCTTATTGAAATATCTAGAAAGACAAATATTTAGGAACGGAGGGAGTAGTCTGAATTAGGATTTACCAGCAGCGACTACAGTTTTTTTTTTACAAATGATATTATCTTTTAGGGGAAAATGATATGATTTTATTGATTAACTAACAAAAATAAATCAGATTGAACAAATTGAAATGCACACGAACAAACATAACTGATTATGAGAGCATTATTCTGGCAACTTATAAAATTATATGAGTATAAAATAGACGGAGGGAGCATACTGTTGGATTCTCATATTTGGAAAAAGTTTATAATCGTTTGTAGCATATATAACTCATATTCTTTGGTAAACTGAGGACCTACAAAGATGTGTGGGCCTAATATTCGAAGGTGGGAATGGCTGCTGCTAATATATACTCCCTCCGTTCCTAAATACTCCCTCCGTCCTAAAATTCTTGTATTAGATTTGTCCAAATACGGATGTATCAAGTCACGTTTTAGTATTAGATACATCCGTATCTCAACAAATCTAAGACAAGAATTTTGGGACGGAGGGAGTATTTGTCTTTTTAGAGATTTCGAATGGACTACCACATATGGATGTATATAGACATGTTTTAAAGTGTAGATTCACTCATTTTGCACCGTATGTAGTCACTTGTTGAAATCTTTAGAAAGACAAATATTTATGAACGGAGGGAGTAGATGATGCTATAGACTATAGTTGCATGTACTTGTATTTACTTTGCTCTCGCCTCTGCTCCTTACTGCATATCTCCCAGGCTTGAGAGGATCGTTAATTTTGGTTCTAGCGGAGCTATCTGGGGTCTCGGAAATTTGATGGGTCCGTCAAAAAGGTAAGAATACATGTTCTCATTCTAGCTTTCCATCATATTGCAGTGTATGTACGTGTAGTATGTAATATATAAGAATGTTTAGGTAGTATATATATAGTACTCCTTCCGTCCCAATGTAAGACATTTTTCGACACTACACTAGTGATAAAAAACATCTTACATTATGGGACGGAGGGAGTACTTTTTAGGTAGTATGTATCATATTTTGAACATACTCTTTTTATGTACAAATATGTACGTATTTCAGAAATATAACACGAACCATGGGCTAACTTGCAATTTTTTCATATAACTCATTTTGGAGTATCTTAGATATAGTATATGAACATACTAGAAATGATAAAGAAGTGCATATAGTTAGTTACTCTCCTAGCCAAACAGAATTAATTCTCACATCTTCTATTTATCAAAAAAAAAAAGTGTGGTGGGAGTCTCTTCCTCTATTCCTTTTTTTTCTCTCAATAGTAATGAGTAATTTGACCTGCTTCACATCTTAACATCTCATTTCCTGTTATGCCAAACATGTAACACACAATACCTTTTATATTTTAGGATTGTGATTGGACAAGAGTACGCAATTTCAATCATGGATATGGAAATGTGCAAGCACTGAGAGCTCCATGTGAAGCACAGATTAGGAAATGTGCAATCTTCATGCAATCAACGACTTCCAATTACGCATTTATGCAATGGATTCTTGTTTCCTTTTTTTTTTTTGTGTTAGGCTAGAAAACACTTTTCAAAGTCATTACAGATTATGGCCCGTATACGCTCCAGCACTACATAATGGCTAACAGGAAAATAACACGTCGAACTAGACCTGGTTAAAACATGTGCTGCCTCATTACAATGGCGATAAACATGAACAAAAGAGCAAGTTTGAAACTGGCGTGACAAGAGCAGTTTCTCAGCAAGAAAGATGCCAACAGAAGATCTGTCTCGGTTCGAGTCTTGTAACTTCCTTATCAGGTTCTCAGGTAGTCAGATGCCACGATTACCATCGGGAAACTTTCAGGAAGAGCAAACTGTAACGGCACTACGCACAACAACTACTTCAGCCATTTCTGCGTAGTGATACCATCAATCAAAAGTCTGGTTCAAAGCAGCCAAAACTTCACCTATGTGGTTCCGTATAACCATCCCCCCACCCATCATCATAATATTTGAAAGAATGTAGCCTCTAAGCAGGCAGGCTAGCTGCTGGAAGCTGGATTGATTCCTTCCTCCAGCTATACACACACGTGAGCCTGTTTTGAGAGTTTAGCTTCCCTTCCTTTTCATGACTGCACGGTTGTCCACGCCAGTCATACCCGCTGCCACCATCGGCAGTCTCTCCGCCCTATTATCCTGTCTACCGTCTCTTTCCAGCAGTAGCATCATGCCTCGGTCATCTGTGTGGGTCTTATTTGTCGTCTTTAGTTCGTACCGGTGTTCTGGGGTCTGCCTTAGGAAATGTATCTTTAGATTGTCAGGGTTGTAAGCTTGGTATCATGGTTCCAATAAGCACAAACTCAGCAAGAACATGTCCAGCTGAGTACATATATATGGTTTTCACCAGAAGAGAATACAAAGTCGTCATTTCGGTAGTCCTGATGACCACTTATTCAAGTGGCAAAATGAAACTACTAACCTCAGAAAAATGAATTTCCAGCGTAAAAGAGCCAAGTCTATCATGACCAAAACAACATATACGTGTTTCTTTAATTCTTCATAAATCAGCCTATCATTA